GTTGATTCCGGGATATCTGAGACCGCCGTGGTTGCAGGCTACAACTACTAACACCCGGAGTTGACGATCGCGTATCACAATGTCATGTACGGCTGCAGTTTTTGCAACGATTGAGTACTGGAAGCCCTCTCCAAGTTCAGGGACTCACGTGCCGCCGAGTACATCTGCACAAGTTCTCTGAATTCCATTTGATCGACTGGTGGTCCTTTCGTCAAGCGCTTCTCCAACACATTCAGCACTTCGAGAGCTTGAGTTTTGCTGTCGATAAGCAAGCAAAGTCGTGCCGTGTCCAGTGCAAAAGGCGCAAAGGCCGCAGTGGTTTCACAGAGCTCACGGGTGATAGTAAAGGTATCGCGATATCCGGATTGTTGCGGAAGTAGCAAATTTATTAATGAGCAACGAAAGCAGGACTTCTGTGCTAGTCCTCCTACATACATTGCACTAGGGGCCTCTAGTACACTTGGAGTTTGTCCCGCGTCATCCTAGGAACCGCGTAAACGGCCCCGTGAGCAACACCACTGCATAAACACCTTCATAATCGCCACAACCGCATAATCCTTGATGAAGTGGGTCGGTAGCTGTTGCTGTACGAAGCGGTAGGGCTTGCTCTCGATCCCGCGACACTACCCCCTAAAGCCCGAACGCATCGTGCTCAAGATTGACCGACTGCGCTGACGAAGTCTTCGTTGTCCACAGTCTGTGCGTAGCTTCGCACCTTGTCAGGAACCTGCGCCATCAGCCCTATCAACGGCTCCCATGATGCTTCGATCGGCTGTAGCCCTGTCCAGTTCACCACGAGCTCCCATCTTGAGAGTGCCTGATTGTAGCGGAAGTCTGCGATTCCGTCCACTCCGAGCAGCATACCTTGGTTCGAGACAAACTCACGGATCTCTTCCGTCACATTCAGAGACGAATCGGCGTAGAAGCGAAGTCGCGAGCCATGAACTTCATATGTAACACCCGATAGTAAATGACGAATCACAAACGAATGCGGTCGAGCTTCCGTCACTGCAAACGGGCCCACTGCGCCAGGAGCTTGTCCTTCGAGAGTCGCTGGTCAACCCTCGACCATAGGACATAGTCCCCAATATCGAAGTTGACCGTAGAACCCTTTGCTACTGCCATATCATAAAGGCGTTTCTTCTCCTTTGCATCGACGACTTCACGGTGCATTGCAGACAGTGACGCTCTTAGCTTTCCAACGAGTCCCCCACGCACTCCGGGTTGATCTCCGTAAGCAAATCACTGGCTTCAGCCCGGCTGATGACATCTAACGACGATGCTGGTGGCAGGGCCAGGAAAAGCTCCATCGGACACTTGCTGGCCAACGAACGAACTGGAGTCTGGTTCAAATTCGCTTGCATTACCGGAAGTAAGTAGGGCCATTCATGATGGTCCAGGTGGTACTCCATCAGCATCACTCTGAGGACTTGAAGAATGTCACGATTCAGTCGCTCCACGGTGCCGTTCAGCCAGGGCGAGTAAACAGGAGAGAACCGTTGCTCGATCTTCAAGCGGCTGCACAGGTAACTCACCGTCTCGTTTCGGAAATGAGACCCTTGATCGGATATGAGCTTCTCGGGACTTCCATAACGCTTGTGCCATGAGAGAAGAGCATCTGCAGCAGTAATCGAATCCGCATTGGTGCATGCAAATAGCTCGCAATAGTGAGTCAGCGAGTCCTTAAGTACCATTACATAGCGATCTCCACCAAATCCGTCACCAAGGGCGAGAAAGTCCCAGTGTAGCATTTCATTCCTCCTAGTCGCCGTGTAGGTAGGACCATACACCCGCGGTATCACCCGAGGACCTTTGACATGTTTACAGAGCAGACATGCTCCGACAAACCTTTGAACTTTCTGGTGCAGCCTTACGATGAAGAATCGGCCGTTCAGCACAGTGTAGACGGCATGTCCACTGCGATGACCTTGGGATCCACAATGGGCGACGACCATCAGCCTTGACACCAAATCACGAGCTGAAGAAGGCACCCACACCTTGTTGGCCACCATGATGACCCCATCTACCATTGTGTGTTCTTCACCAAGGTCTCTGAGAGCTGATTGAGCACCACGCTGCGCCTTCACGATGTCTGCAAAACCAGGAAACGTGAAGTCTTCGTCCGAAAGCGGGCGTAGCACTGAAGCGATGGCTTAACCTCTAGTCCGCACCGCTGCAGCTCGCGCCACAGGCACTTTCCACCTTGATATAATGTCTGCCCAGACATTTACCTCGCCAGCTACGTGTTCAATAGTGAACCGCAAGCCACAAAGTCGCATCGCCCATCGCTGTAGACGATCGCGCACATGTTTCTTCAACTTTACGCGCGGAGCGAAGATGTAGATAAGGTTTGCATGATCGCACAACAGTTTGAACCCGCGTTCACGCTGGAGTCGGTACTCGAGATCGGTACACGCCTTGACAATCGGAAATGCTTCCTTTTCTACGATCGCCCAGTTCACTTGAGAGTCCTTGAAAGTTCCGCCTTTGCACAGTACCATCCGATGCTGCTGCTTCTCCACAGGAAGCGAGGAATCCCACGTCTCCACCTCGGTGATGATAATGCTCCAACCAGTAAGTGACGCGTCGGTCATGACGCACAGTTCCGATATCGGGCATGGGAAAGCCAGAGGTACTGAGGCCTTGATCAGCTCCTTCACTGCATTGTAGCTGTCCGTCTCATGGTCCGTCCACGACATGGCTACGTTGAGAGCATTCTTGTTGCGCCTACCGATCCGCTTCCTCTCTGCACCCAGCTTCTCCTGCAAAGGCGCCACAACACGCGAATAGTCAGGTAGCGACTCGTGCAGCCAGTTGCTGGCACAAACGAAGTACTGTAGCTCGGCCACTGTTGAAGGTAGGGGGAGCGCTGTCAGCGCGTCCACCCGCTCCGGATCGTGTCGAGTCCCGCTACCAGAGATCAGCTTACCGCACCACAGGGTTTCCAGCTGGAATAGAGAGCTCTTAGCAGCGTTCAGCTTCAAACGTCGGTCTCGCAAAATAATGGAGAACTCCTTCAGCGCATGTAGGAACTCGTCGATAGTTTTACCGAAGATGATCACGTCGTCCACCCAGACCAAAGCGTTGCGCTGCAACACAGGCGCCAGAACGTCTTGCATCTGCATCTGAAAGTGAATAGCAGAGTCTACGGCACCCTGGGGTACACGAGTCGGGGTATAGACAGCGTCTTCCGTCATGAATAACATGAGCTCTTGGCTACTCGGATCCAAGGGCAATTGTCAGAACCCTTTTATCATGTCGAACTTGGCGAAGCATACTGCACCTCGAACGGCGGACGAGGCCACCGCAAGGTTGGGCATCGCCCCGGCAATGGGAACCGTGAGCATGTTGACGGGTCGGTAGTCAATAGTGATGCGAAACTCCGTAGTCGAACCAGGTTTGCGCACGGGAACTGCAGCACACGCCCATTTAGCAGCGTTGTTCTTCCTGATAAACCCACGCTTCTCCAACTTAGCGGAGGAAGGTACTCTGAAGTGGTGCATATTTCCGAGGTTTGCATCGGAACGGAACAGCGTCTTGGATCAGCGTGAGCTTTAGAGGTTCTACAAGAGCCGGAGGGTCGTCACCAAGGCTCTCACGGAAAACGTCGACATGGTCACGTACCAGCACCCGCATCTGCTCCTCGTACCTACGCTCCAGCCCATTCTCGACGGCTTCATCCATGAGGTGGTCGAGCACAGTGTCGTCTCTGCCAACCTCGCCAGGTAATATACCTCCCACAGGAAATTCGTCTTTCTCTCCATCCAGCAAATGCGAGCTAGCCAGCTGTTCAATCATTCTCTCGACATCGATACCAAGCGATTTCATCGCATCGTTTCCTAGTAGCAGCTCCTCAACATCAGATTCCAGCACGAGACACCGTACCTCTCTCATGTGGACGGGTCCAGCAGCAGTAACTAGCTCCAGCGCCACGGTAGCTTCCTCGATGCAGTCTACACGCTTTCCGTCAGCCAGATAGACTGGGATTGGGCGCTTTAGCATTTTCACGTCGAGGTCCACGTCGAGCGCCTGCAGCGACGCGATAACCACCCCAGAAATCATCGCTCGGTCTGCGCCACTGTCTGGAATATAAGGTATTTCCAGCACACTGTTGATCTTTGCCATGTTGGCTCGTACTGTGGCCGAAACAGCCTTCGAGCGCACAGATTCGTTTCGAGCGTTCTTGGCTTCTCTCAACTTAGACAAAGCATCTGCCTTCTAACCTGCCGTAGCCGTCGGACACTCATCCAACCAATGGGCACCCTTGCCCACCAAACAGCCATCACGTGGAGGAGTCCTAGCCTTCTTCTCAGCAGTGGGCGTCGCTTTTACAGACTTGGCTGATCGCTTCCCTTGCTGCTGTGGCTGCTGTCCACGCTCCTGAGGCACGACTCGCTCCACACTTTGTACGTGGAACCTCTGCTGCACCCGAGCATGTTCCAGAATCAAGTCGAAGAGGGCTGCATCGTCCGTCTTACATTCCCGTCTCTCATACTTGATAAGGCGCTCGATCTGCTCCTTCAGCATAGCGGGCTGAATATTCTCCACGAGAATTGCACACCGAGCCTTCATTCGATCCTTGTAGCCAGGGCCGGCAGCATTACCTCCGCCAATCAGCGCCTGCAGACCGTTGTCCTCCACAATTTTTGTAAAAGACTGGAAGTACTGAAACACTCGTGCGTCACAGTCATCCACCTGCATATCCATCTTCAAGGACTTGCGAAAGAGCGTAGTGATGTCCGGAATGAAGTCGTTCTTGAGAGACCTGCAGCGCTTATGCACCTGCGCCAGGATCTCCGCGTCGTCCACATTCTCCACTCGCTTCTTCAGCACGTACGTAGCTAGTGTTTCCAGCACGGCCGGTTCCACCGAGCCCTTCACAGTAGCCACGACACCTTCGAAGCTCTCGCCAGTCACACTACAGCGATGGCGGATCTTCGTCAGGTATTGCTCCCATTCACGATTCCACACGATCAGGAGGCCTGGTCCCAACTGGCCA